GTTAAGCAGATGTATAAATCATTGCAGGCTCAGGGCCAGATTAAGTAACTGGGATAACTCACCCAAACCTAATATCCACATGACTTCCACAGAGTAAGGGGGCAGACTTTTGTAATGGTCCCTTGATATACTGTAGCTTTTACAATAGTCAGTTTTACTAAAAGTGAGCATGACTCACTGCAATTGTCATGTTACCTCAAACTTTTTGTTACCTCACTTTTCTTGAGTCCAATTCTCCCTTTTGCTAGAGCCCCTTAGCCACAGTGACCTTGATGCAATAGCTACATCAAGTTTGCTACAAAGTAAATTGAACCTTATAAAAAGTGAATGCAATATTGGATCCCAAATGTTTAAATTGTGCAGTCTGTTCTGCTGCTAGCCGGCGTACTGCCAGTGCTACTGCTCTGTTATACTCCGTCTTCATTTCTACTGTGCTTAGCATTTTTGCTCTTCAATCTTTCGTCTCCAGAACACAGGAACCAGTGGATAAACGGCACAGTTGAAACATAAGTAAGTTTGCTAGCTGTGTGTTCAGGTTTTGTTGCTTCTTAGTATTGCTGTTTAAAAAAATACATTCCATAGTAGCAAAATTTTTTCCTGTCATGCCTGGACTTGAAACAGAAAGAATGGAGGAAAATTTATATATAAATTAGGGCTGTCAAGCATTTTTTTAAAAAAATATTTTTGATTACAAATATTTGTACAGTAAAAATGGCAAACAAAAGAAATAGTATTTTTCAATTCATCTCATACAAGTACTGTAGTGCAATCTCTTTATTTTGAAAGCTGAACTTAAGTGTAGAATTATGTACAAAAAACCCTGCATTATAATAAAAAAATGTAAAACTTTAGAGCCTACAAGTCCATTCAGTCCTACTTCTTGTTCAGCCAAATCACTAAAACAAGTTTGTTTACATTTGCAGGAGATAATGCTGCCCGCTTCTTGTTTACAATATCACCTGAAAGTGAGAACAGGCATTCACATGGCACTGTTGTAGCTGTCACTGCAAGATATTTATGTGCCAGATGCACTAGAGATTCATATGTCCCTTCATACTTCAACCACTGTTCCAGAGGACATGCGTCCATGCTGATAACAGGTTCTGCTTGATAACCATCCAAAGCAGTGCAGACTGACGCATCTTCATTTTCATCATCTGAGTCAGATGTCACCAGCAGAAAGGTTGATTTTCTTTTCTGGTGGTTTGAGTTCTGTAGTTTCTACACCAAAGTGTTACTCTTTTATGACTTCTGAAAAAGCATGCTCTACACCTTATCCCTCTCAGATTTTGGAAGGCACTTCAGATTCTAAAACCTTGAGTTTTAGAGTGCTGTAGCTATCTTTAGACATCTCACAGTGGTACCTTCTTTGTGTTTTGTCAAATCTGCAGTGAAAGTGGTCTTAAAATGAACAACATGTGCTGGGTCATCATCTGAGACTGCTATAACATGAAATAGTGGCAGAATGCAAGTAAAACAGAGTAGGAGACATACAATTCTCCTCCCAGGAGTTCAGTCACAAATTTAATTAATGCATTTTTTTAAATGAGCATCATCAGCACAGAAGCATATCCTCTAGAATGGTGGCGAAAGCATGAAGGCGCATACGAATGTTTAGCATAACTGGCATGTAAATACTTTGCAATGCTGGCTACAAAAGTACCATGTGAATGCCTGTTTTCACTTTCAGGTGACATTTAAATAAGAAGTAGGCAGCATTATCTCCCGTAAATGTAAACAAACTTGTTTGTCTTAGTCATTGGCTAAACAAGAAGTAGGACTGAGTGGACTTGTAGGCTCTAAAGTTTTAGATTGTTTTATTTTTGAATGTAGGTTTTTTGTACATAATTCTAAACTTAAGTTCAGCTTTCATGATAAAGAGATTGCACTACAGTACTTGTATGAAGTGAATTGAAAAATACTATTTCTTTCGTTTGCCATTTTTACAGTGCAAATATTTGTAATAAAATATAAAGTGAGCACTGTACACTTTGCATACTGTGTTGCAATTGAAACCAAAATATTTAAAAATGTAGAAAACATCCAAAAATATTTAATATATTTCAATTGGTATTCTATTGTTTAACAGTGCAATTAATTGCAATTGATTTTTTTAATCATGATTAATTTTTTTGAGTTACTTTGTGAGTTAACTGCGATTAATTGACAGCCCTAATATAAATGAAAGGGTTTGGTACAAATTTGCAATCAAAGCGGGTTCTCAGCCAGTCATGAAGAATGCTGATGCTTACCAGCCAAATGAGCCAATCATCTACCCAAACATCCAGATTTTAGAAGCAAAAGGTAAGAACAGAAAACATATTATATGATGGCCAATATCTATTTGGATGCTAGACAAATTGTTTAGGTTTGTTAATAAATACTGCTGGCAGCATTGCTCTAAATTATGTGGTTACGTTATTCAAGACTTTGTAGTTAAATAATTGCTATTGTTTTGATTGCTTTTACGTTTTTTTAATTATTAGCTCAGATTTCTTTATATCTATTTCTTTTTCTGTTACTATCCCCATAGCGCTTTGGATCATCAGTCTCTCAAGGGACAATTTTTTTCTTTTCATAAATAGGGGCACCGTGTCCTTACGCAGTTCTTGGACATTGAATATGGTTCAAACTTACCCCTTCCTGGGGTTTGCCTGAGAAGTTATCAAAATGATGATTCTTTTCACAATACACTCCAATGATTATCCAGGTAGCTGCCTTAGTATTTTCTGAACAAGAAGCTCCTTTAAATTGAATTAGTCATATAACCATGCTTACACTATAAGAAAAAAAGAGTTTGTTCCCAAATATTTAAAGTTTGTTTTGAAGCTTTAAAGTTAACAACAACAAACTGCATATCTCTTGTAGTAAGAATCTCTGTTTAAAATGGACATGTTTAAAATTTGGAATATAATTCTCAGCTTTGAGGCAGAAATCAAACACAACACTCCAAATACATTATCAGTCTGAATAATATGGGATATCTGTAATTGATATAGCTTATCTAGCAAATTGAACTTTGCATCAATGTCTTAAAAAAAGTTAAAGCATTGGATTTTTATGTCATTGACAAATAAATTTGACTTCACTTTCATCAACTCAAAACAAGAAAAACAAGATCTATTCTGAAACCACTAGGTAACAAAGTTAGTATCTTTTTATGATTACATATAGCAAGAACAAACACAGTGAATCACACTGCAGGTGTGTACACGCTGCACCCATTTTGCTCATTGGCATGTGCAGAAAATTCCTGTGGGGTGAAAATTTCACCTGCATAGAGCCTGAGTGATCAAGTCACACACCACAACAAAGAGGCAGGACCCAAAGCTGCAGCACACCTCCCATGTTACTACTGTTACAATGCAGCCACAGCCTCTCCATGCCAGTTGTGGTGAATGTTTTGTGGAAACTAAAGGCCCTCCCCAGTCCCTAAAGTTACTCCTACCAAGGCCTGTGGTGTCAGTCTATGCAGAGCCAGAACACAGACTCTTTATTTGGCATTCCAGAGGCCCACAGGCCCTCTTTCTGCATGCTTGCTGTACCCTCATGTGGGCTATCCCATGTGAGGCTTAGGGTTCATAATGACTTATGTAAGGGGCTGTTGGCCCCTTACTAAAACTCAGTGTGGTTTTTTTTGGTTGGCCACCTCCTAGTACCAAAAGAAAGGGGAAGGGTCGATGCAAAATCAGGACCCTGAGACTGACAGTCCGCAGGAACAACAGGGAGAGGCCAATGCTCCAGGTTAGCCTCATTGACAGGGTGGGCAGGCTAATTAGGGAGTCGGGGGGGGGGGTCCCATCTTCTGTGTGAGCTGGAACTACCTGGGACAGAGTGGGGCCAGTCCTAAGGAGAGAGCAGGAGCCCAAACTGAGCTGGAGAGCAGGGCTACACCAGCCAGAGAAGCAGCCGAGGAAGTAGATCCGTGCTGGGAGCAGAGCCACAGAAGCAGCCCAGAGAGCAGCCCTGTGCTGGGAGAGAGAACTGCAGCACAGAGCCAGAGGGGCCAGAAAAAGCAACCCAGGGGGCAGGAGCCAGAGCAGCATCAGTGCTGAGGCAGAGTGGAGCTGGGGCTGGAGCAGTCCGAAGCCAGGTGCAGTGAGCAGCTGGGGAGAAGTGACAGGGGACCCTGGGCAACAGGCCCAGCGCAGGGAGATGCCCCCAGCCAAGAGGCCTGGCAGGCCAGACTTGGAAGGGGATCGTAACCCCGACAGTGGGGGCTGACACTGAGAAGAAGGGTCCTGCCACGTAGAGCCTGTATGCATATGGCCACCACCAGAGCAAGTGTCTGACCTGCAACATCCCTGCAGCACAGCCAGGGCCTGAGAAGGAGGCCTGGGACATGTCATGAACAGACTATGAACTTCCCTTATATTCCAGAGATGCTGGCAGAGGAGGCAGGTTTGGATAATTTTTGGTGGTGCCCAGAACAGGTCCAAGGTCTCCCCCTCAAGGCTCTGGGAGAGAGTTTGGGTGCTGGGTGAAGGCTCTGGGCTGGGGCAGGGGTGCAGGAGGGGGCCAGGGGGTCCACGCTTACCTTGTGCGGTGTCGGCTCCTGAAAGCGACCCGCAGACCCCTCTTGCAGCAGCTCGGCACTCGGGGCCGGGGCAGCGTGTGGAGACTTTCCCTCCACCCCCCTCCCCAGGGCCGCAGGGACATGCTGGCTGCCTCCCAGAGTGGCGCGGCGCGGGCGGGCAGGAAGCCACCATAGGCTGTGTCTACACTGCCACTTTCAGCGCTAAAAACAGTGTGAAGAAACACACACCCCCCCAGCGACAAAAGTTTTAGCGCTGAAAAGCGCCGGTACAGACAGTGCTTTTATCCCCTCTGAGCTCCCCTTTGCCCTGGATTCCCCACGGCCCCGTCACCGTGACACCACAATGAGGCGAGCAGGGGCAGGGCTCCGGCCGCAGCCTCCGCACCTGGGCGGGGAGTGGCTGAGGGAGGTGGGGGCCGGTGCAGCGCCGGGCGGGGCTGGAGGCCGGGATGTGGCTGTGAGGAGACGCTGCGCCCAGCACTCCGTGAGAGCCCAGAGGCATGGGGGAGCAGCCCGTGATGGTACCAGCCCAGGAGCCCTGCCGCGCAGGTCAGTCGCACCCGCCCGGGAGCGGGGAGCAGTGAAGGGCCGAGAGGGGCTGGGGTGTCTCTGGCTGGTGGCACTGGCCTGAGGGAGGGCAGAGGAGCGGGCAGATGGCTGGGGAGGCGGCGGCGGACGGGCTGACTCGGGAGAGAGCAGCCTGTGGGGAGGCGATGGGGAGAAGAGCGCGGACAGCCGGCAGGAGGCGCTGCTGGGCGGAGTGGGGCTGGGGTGGGCTGTGTCTCCACAGCAGTAGCGGCCTGACGCTGGTGCGACCTTCCTGGGAACAGAGCAGCCTGCAAATGCAGTGGGGCGGATTGAGAAAGTTCCTGTCTCTAGGGCAGCACGTAGCGATCTGAGATTCTGTTCTACAACGGTTGTTGTAGCACTGATTTCACTATAGCTGTTACCTTAAACAAGCAAGGCAAGTATTATACCGCTATAAACACACTGAGGGTATGTCTACACTACGAAATTAGGTCGAATTTATAGAAGTCGTTTTTTTAGAAATCGTTTTTATATATTCAAGTGTGTGTGTCCCCACAGAAAATGCTCTAAGTGCATTAAGTGCATTAACTCGGCGGAGCGCTTCCACAGTACCGAGGCTAGAGTCGACTTCTGGAGCATTGCACTGAGGGTACCTATCCCACAGTTCCCGCAGTCTCCGCTGCCCATTGGAATTCTGGGTTGAGATCCCAAAGCCTGATGGGGCTAAAACATTGCCGCGGGTGGTTCTGGGTACATATCGTCAGGCCCCCGTTCCCTCCCTCCCTCCGTGAAAGCAAGGGCAGACAATCGTTTCGCGCCTTTTTTCCTGAGTTACCTGTGCAGACGCCATACCACGGCAAGCATGAAGCCCGCTCAGGTAACCGTCACCCTATGTCTCCTGGGTGCTGGCAGACGTGGTACTGCATTGCTACACAGCAGCATCAACCCATTGCCTTGTGGCAGCAGACGGTACAGTACAACTGGTAGCCGTCATCGTCATGTCCAAGGTGCTCCTGGCCACACATGCGCAGGGACTAAATTTGGAGTCACTTGACCAGGTCATTCTCTTTAGTCCTGCAGTCAGTCCTATTGAACCATCTTATGGTGAGCAGGCAGGCAATACAGATTGCTAGCAGTCCTACTGTACCATCTTCTGCTAGGCAGGCAAGAGATGAGGATGGCTAGCAGTCCTACTGCACCGTCTTCTGCCGAGCAGCCATGAGATGTGGATGGCTTGCAGTCCTTCTGCACCGTCTGCTGCCAGCCAAAGATGTAAAGTAGATCAAAACAAGAAATAGACCAGATTTGTTTTGTAACCGTCCCCTCCCTCGTCTAGGGAACTCATTCCTCTAGGTCACACTGCAGTCACTCACAGAGAAGGTGCAGTGAGGTAACTCTAGCCATCTATCAATCAGAGGCCAGACCAACCTGCTTGTTCCAATAAGAACAATTACTTAAGTGCACCATTTCTTATTGGAACCCTCCATGAAGTCCTGCTTGAAATACTCATTGATGTAAAGCCACCCCCTTTGTTGATTTTAATTCCCTGTAAGCCATGTCGTCAGTCGCCCCTCCCTCCGTCAGAGCAACGGCAGACAATCATTCCGTGCCTTTTTTCTGTGCGGACGCCATACCAAGGCAAGCATGGAGGCCGCTCAGCTCACTTTGGCAATTAGGAGCACATTAAACACCACACGCATTATCCAGCAGTATATGCAGCACCAGAACCTGGCAGAGCGATACCAGACGAGGAGGCGATGTCAGCGCGGTCACGTGAGTGATCAGGACATGGACACAGATTTCTCTCAAAGCATGGGCCCTGCCAATGCATGCATCATGGTGCTAATGGGGCAGGTTCATGCTGTGGAACGCCGATTCTGGGCTTGGGAAACAAGCACAGACTGGTGGGACCGCATAGTGTTGCAGATCTGGGACGATTCCCAGTGGCTGCGAAACTTTCACATGTGTAAGGGCACTTTCATGGAACTTTGTGACTTGCTTTCCCCTGCCCTGAGGTGCATGAATACCAAGATGAGAGCAGCCCTCACAGTTGAGAAGCGAGTGGCGATAGCCCTGTGGAAGCTTGCAATGCCAGACAGCTACCGGTCAGTTGGGAATCAATTTGGAGTGGGCAAATCTACTGTGGGGGCTGCTGTGATGCAAGTAGCCCACGCAATCAAAGGTCTGCTGATATCAAGGGTAGTGACCCTGGGAAATGTGCAGGTCATAGTGGATGGCTTTGCTGCAGTGGGATTTCCTAACTGTGGTGGGGCTATAGACGGAACCCATATCCCTATCTTGGCACCAGAGCACGAAGCCGGCGAGTACATAAACCGCAAGGGGTACTTTTCAATAGTGCTGCAAGCTCTGGTGGATCACAAGGGACGTTTCACCAACATCAACGTGGGATGGCCGGGAAAGGTACATGATGCTCGCATCTTCAGGAACTCTGGTCTGTTTCAAAAGCTGCAGGAAGGGACTTTATTCCCAGACCAGAAAATAACTGTTGGGGATGTTGAAATGCCTATATGTATCCTTGGGGACCCAGCCTACCCCTTAATGCCATGGCTCATGAAGCCGTACACAGGCAGCCTGGACAGTAGTCAGGAGCTGTTCAACTACAGGCTGAGCAAGTGCAGAATGGTGGTAGAATGTGCATTTGGACGTTTAAAGGCGCGCTGGCGCAGTTTACTGACTCACTTAGACCTCAGCAAAACCAATATTGCCACTGTTATTACTGCTTGCTGTGTGCTCCACAATATCTGAGAGAGTAAGGGGGAGATGTTTATGGCGGGGTGGGAGGTTGAGGCAAATCGCCTGCCTGCTGGTTATGCGCAGCCAGACACCAGGGCGGTTAGAAGAGCACAGGAGGGCGTGGTACGCATCAGAGAAGAAAACCAGTTTCATGACTGGCCAGGCTACGGTGTGAAAGTTCTGTTTGTTTCTCCTTGATGAAACCCCCCACCCCTTGGTTCACTCTACTTCCCTATAAGCTAACCACCCTCCCCTCCTCCCTTCGATCACCGCTTGCAGAGGCAATAAAGTCATTGTTGCTTCACATTCATGCATTCTTTATTCATTCATCACACAAATAGGGGGATGACTACCAAGGTAGCCCAGGAGGGGTGGTGGAGGAGGGAAGGAAAATGCCACACAGCACTTTAAAAGTTTACAACTTTAAAATTTATTGAATGCCAGCCTTCTGTTTTTTGGGCAATCCTCGGTGGTGGAGTGGCTGGTTGGCCAGAAGCCCCCCCACCGCGTTCTTGGGCGTCTGGGTGTGGAGGCTATGGAACTTGGGGAGGAGGGTGGTTGGTTACAGAGGGGCTGTAGTGGCAGTCTGTGCTCCAGCTGCCTTTGCTGCAGCTGAACCATACACTGGAGCATATTGGTTTGATCCTCCAGCAGCCTCAGCATTGAATCCTGCCTCCTCTCATCATGCTGCCGCCACCTTTGAGCTTCAGCCCTGTCTTCAGCCCGCCACCTACTCTCTTCAGCCCGCCACCTCTCCTCCCAGTCATTTTGTGCTTTCCTGCACTCTGACATTATTTGCCTCCACGCATTCGTCTGTGCTCTGTCAGTGTGTGAGGACAGCATGAGCTCAGAGAACATTTCATCGCGAGTGCGTTTTTTTTTCTTTCTAAGCTTCACTAGCCTCTGGGAAGGAGAAGATCCTGTGATCATTGAAACACATGCAGCTGGTGGAGAAAAAAAAGGGACAGCGATATTTAAAAAGACACATTTTATAAAACAGTGGCTACACTCTTTCAGGGTAAACCTTGCTGTTAACATTACATACATAGCACAGGTGCTTTCGTTACAAGGTCGCATTTTGCCTCCCCCCACCGCGTGGCTACCCCCTCAACCCTCCCCCCCTCCCCGTGGCTAACAGTGGGGAACATTTCTGTTCAGCCATAGGCAAACAGCCCAGCAGGAACGGGCACCTCTGAGTGTCCCCTGAAGAAAAGCACCCTATTTCAACCAGGTGACCATAAATGATATCTCACTCTCCTGAGGATAACACAGAGAGATAAAGAACAGATGTTGTTTGAATGCCAGCAAACATACACTGCAATGCTTTGTTGTACAATGATTCCCGAGTACGTGTTACTGGCCTGGAGTGGTAAAGTGTCCTACCATGGAGGACGCAATAAGACTGCCCTCCCCAGAAACCTTTTGCAAAGGCTTTGGGAGTACATCCAGGAGAGCTGCGAATGCCAGGGCAAATTAATCCTTTCACATGCTTGCTTTTAAACCATGTATAGTATTTTAAAAGGTACACTCACCGGAGGTCCCTTCTCTGCCTGCCAGGTCCAGGAGGCAGCCTTGGGTGGGTTCGGGGGGTACTGGCTCCAGGTCCAGGGTGAGAAACAGCTCCTGGCTGTCAGGGAAAACTGGTTTCTCCGCTTGCTTGCTGTGAGCTATCTACAACCTCATCATCATCATCTTCTTTGTCCCCAAAACCTGCTCCCGTGTTGCCTTCATCTCCATTGAAGGAGTCAAACAACAGGGCTGGGGTAGTGGTGGCTGAACCCCCTAAAATGGCATGCAGCTCATCATAGAAGCGGCATATTTGGGGCTCTGACCCGGAGCGGCTGTTCGCCTCTCTGGTTTTCTGGTAGGCTTGCCTCAGCTCCTTAAGTTTCACAGGGCACTGCTTCGGGTCCCTGTTATGGCCTCTGTCCTTCATGCCCTGGGAGATTTTGACAAAGGTTTTGGCATTTCGAAAACTGGAATGGAGTTCTGATAGCACGGATTCCTCTCCCCATACAGCGATTAGATCCCGTACCTCCCGTTCAGTCCATGCTGGAGCTCTTTTGCAATTCTGGGACTCCATCATGGTCACCTCTGCTGATGAGCTCTGCATGGTTACCTGCAGCTTGCCACGCTGGCCAAACAGGAAATGAGATTCAAAAGTTCGCGGTTCTTTTCCTGTCTACCTGGTCAGTGCATCTGAGTTGAGAGTGCTGTCCGGAGCGGTCACAATGGAGTACTCTGGGATAGCTCCCGGAGGCCAATAC